GGACATCGCATCTTCCGTATGTATGGGTCTGCTCGATACGAAGATTACAATCTTTGTCCATCGGCAGGATATTAATAAATAGATTGGACGTTGCAGATGTCTGAAGTGGGTCGAGGCAGCTGGAAGCTGATGGCGAAGCACCATCGTCATTCAAGTGCGACGGCAGAAAACACTTGGCCTTTCGTTCGTCGAATATTCCATCTAAGTGAGATTGATATTTTGCTAAAACATGATTAACATTTAAACTACTGATACGTTATAAGAGGAAACAATAGGATAGCTGTAGAGAAAATTATTTTCCTCTTTAATATTTTTCTATAAACATTGAGATGCTAATCACAGAATATTGGGATAGATAAATTGTTCTTATTTTTTGTTTTCTTTTATTTTTAAGGACAAGAAAAGGAGGCAAGGCATAATTTTGCCTAGGCTTTGATTTGAAGAGCTTTGTAAACCACCCCCTGGATAGCCAGCTTGCCCCAAAATATGTGGAAACTTTCCTTGACCATTAAATCCCTTTTGGTCCGAGTTGGATGTCGAAGAACTGGTTTCCAATTTATTCATTTGAGAAGAACTGTTTGGTCTTCCTTATAAAGTCGGCTAAACTGTGGCTTTTGCGAATATCGTTGGGTAGGGCATTCCATATGATCGCATATCTAATGGTGTAGGAATTTGATTGCTGGGCCGTCTCCGGGACATCCCTTCAAACTGTATGTGCCCCAAGGACGATTGGGTGTGAGCAATTATTTTTTCTCTAATCGGGTTGTGGATCCTTGAAATGACCTACCTGAGGCGATTGTTACATCTAATCTGTCGAAACATTCAAACACCGACTTGATATACACATGTTACAGCACAACGTCAATTATGTGACAAATTAACCTTTAAACACCACTGCACCATGTGACGGTCTATATTTTCCTGGCTGAAAACTTTTTGACATTGTTTATAATTATTGAGATTTTAATGTGACAAATAGGGAGTTCAAAGGCACAAGCCTATTTTTTCCTCAAATATACTGACTGACTGTAACAACGCGACCCTAGATGACCTCAATTTCGCAGAAGAGGACGTGTTAATAACTTCTTGTGCTCAATAAAGCTAGGTTAATGGCTCCAGACCAAATGCCGATAAAAGTACTGCAAGAACCTGTTCGTGAATTCTCTAGACTACTTTCGCATATTTTCCAGTTGTCATTTGATCGAGGCCTTCTTGCATCTGACTGGAATTTTGCAAACATATACCCTATTCACAAGGGTCGATCCAGAACCAGCGCAAACAACTATCAACCACTGTGCTTAGCTTGCATTCGTTTGAAATTTATGGAAAGGGTTATCAAAAACGCCATCATGCATTTTTTTCAAGAAAAGACTTATTTGACAGTTGGATCTATTTTACATGCCCAACTGTACAGTTCGTATGGAACGCGCCAGTACGGAACGAATGTCGGCAGTTTTTTCACAATTCAGTCAACTAAGTTAAGTAAATATGTCAAACCTCCTAAGTAATTATTTTACAGTGCCCAATACGAATTTCGAGTAAACCACTCCTGCCTGACCAATATGCTTTGTTCAATAAAGCAATGGTCTTGGTCGTAAGTTTGAAATTGTTTGCGAATTTCAAGTCTCTCGAGCTTACGTGTTTTTA